GAAAGTGATGTCACATTTGCTGGTAATGTAATGGTACCGAACCCAAACAACCACCTTTAGCATATGTGAACAGTTGCACATACATGAAGAGTGAACGCCACGCTGCCTTTAAAGCCAAATTTCATTTAACTACCAACTGTTGCAGCACAGAGAGACTAATCAATCCCTCCAGTGACTCAGAGTCTATATAATCAACACCAATAATTCAACAGCTCTGTTTACATACACTTTCATCTCCCGCTGCAAACAGCTTCATTGATTAACAGTGGGAGTTATGGGCTCATTTCCCTGATTACAGCTTAAAGAAAACAGTGGACCTGTCTGGAAGTGCTGATTGGGCCTCAGCCTGCGATAAACACACATCCGCCGGAGCACGAATGAGTCCCATGCTTTTGCAGACTCCACACTTTGTCTTTGCGGTGTGGCTCCCGATCCATCAATGGAGGTGAAGTGGCTGTTGCATTAGCTTCTATTCCCCATTCCCTCCCTGTACTTTATCACAGTGATGCTGGATCAGATCATATATTAAAAGAGAGTAGATGAGATTAGAGGAGCCAGGGAGAGAGAGAGACCCAGTTTAACCCCCGCCTGTTCTTTATATGAGATGTATTAGTTATTAATAATGCTGTAAACAATACAGCTCTCAGAGTGTCAGGGGGATAAACTCCAGTACAATATGTTTGCATGCTGGTGACTGGGGTTTCCACTGTGAGAGAAAATCAAAGGCACCAGTTTCTAATCTTGTTTGTGCTGCAATGAGTCAGTGCTATCAAACAACATGAAGTGATTGTTTCCATGATTAATCAATTAAAGGACACTTTGTTCACAGCTGTCTACGTGTGATGTCTCAACAGAAGAACTTCCTGTAACAGATGCTTCTGACAGTGTGTCAACGGTCCTGTTTGTATAAAAGGAAGTGTTTGGATGTTTTTGAAGTGGGGTTACATGAGATTCTTTTCTACAGTCAGAGATTACAGCCCCGTCTCCACCAAACCCTTTCAGTCCAGCACCTCTGGAACCAGCAGTAAGCCTTCAGATATGGTACCTAGACCTTCGGTCTGTTCAGACAGTCCTCTTAAATGTGGGCTGGGTTGTTGTCACTCACTGCTCCGTCCAGCACTCGCTGTATTTCCTCATCAGCGGTGACACAGATGGAAGTCTGCACCTGGTTTATCGTCCACAGAACGAGTCTGCACGCCCACATTTTCACAACAAAATAGAACAGGCTGCAGTGAGAGTCTCTCTCCATGGGATATTTAAAAATAGCAGCTTTGTGCATTTAGTCCTTCTCAGGCAAGCTCAGGGGTTTAGTGTTGCTGTAGCCCACAGGAAGTGAGGATTAGAATATATGACCTTCACATAATCCGCTCCAAATTAATCTATATTTTTAAAGTCATTACTAAAAGTGTGTGTCATATAAAAACTAAAGTGATGGTCAAAGTTGTCACAGTGAAATTTAAGGTGTGCTGATGGATTCATGTCATCAACTCATGCATTGAGTAACATTACAAGTTAACGTTCCACCTTAAAAGTTGCCGGCAGTCGGCCCAGTGAATGAAGTTATTTTTTTCTCTTTCATTTTATAGTTGTAGTTTACTGATGTATGAACAGAGGTTACATAAAACCAGTGTGAGCGTCCTCTACTGACCAATCAGACTGCAGGGTTTCTAGCTCCACCTTTTAGTACCAGATCTGTGTGCTAGGTACCCCAACAGAGGGGGGACCAAACATGGGGACGCTAAGGAACGCTTCTGTTGGGACCATCCACAACTTTCACTGTGGAGACAGAAAAACTGAACTGAACTATAAAAACACCTGTGTGTTATCTCTGTGTATTCTTGTGCTATTTCCCTGTTTTTTTCTAACAATGCAGACGATCTAAAAGTTGAAAACATTTGAGTTAGTTCATCTCCTTCACCTTTGTCTCAGTCTAACCCAGCGGTTCAAACTTTGGTGGCTCGTGGCCCCTTTAAATGAAGAAATGTCTCCTGACGTGTGACCCAGGTGGAATGAATCTACGAGCTGTGAACAGTTCAGCTGAGAGGTGATTTTTTTCTCCTGAGTGTTTGATTTGAATCATTACAGATGTGAAAGTATGAAACTAGTCACTATTTTACAAGGAAAGAAAAGTCTGAACTCACTCTGTGCAGCAGGAATAGAAATGTTCTTATTCTTCTCCTTTTATCATCTCCATCCTCAGATTGATCTTGTAACCCTCCAGCTGGTCCTGACCCTGGCTTGTAAAGCACTTATATTAATTATTTACCAGAGCAAATTATTCTTTATAGTTCCTCCAACAAACACATTTCCTTTCCTCTAAGGTCAGCTTTTTAAAATCAGGATGCTTGAAGCGTAACATAGGTTTTATAAACTCCTTCTTGTTGTGGTCACTGTGTGAACAACCCGTCCTGTTTTCTGACCATCTTACAATCAGCTGCAGGGAGGGTCTGCTAATGTAAATGAAGGGTTATGGTTAATGCTTATTTTCTAATTTGATGCCTCAGCAGGTCTGTGCAGTTTTCACTGAGCTGCATGGACACTATGAGTCTGATAATTAGACAGAGTAGCTGTTTTGCTTTCACTTAAACGTTGAAGAAACTAAGAGATGAGACGGTGATTCAGAGGTCAGAAAGCGGGCCGCAGTGCTGCTGCATTTATGTTCACTTTTAAAGTTACTTTGAACCATAATCAGAAGTCAGGGAACAAACACTCTCATGACAACATGGATGAGGAGGATGTGTGTAAGGACACACAGATTATCCACCGAGAGCCTCCGACCTCTAGGGGGCTCCAAATCCTCATCAGCTGTGGCCTTATCCTGTTGCTATTTTTAAATAATAATCAAACCACATGAGTTACTTGAGTGTGTGTGTGATGAAATACAAACCAATGGATGCAGTTATTTTGGAAGTACTATTTGCAAATAAAGCCCCGTCATGACAGCGGGGTGAACATGCTAATTTTTTGCTGCTTTTCCAGCACAATGCAGTGACACGCCGTCACAAAACCTTCTGTCTCTGTCCAAGCAGCGTTCAGTCATCTTTACAAATAAGTCGGCACCGAGTTTGAAAGAGAGCCGGAATAATGACAAAAAAGTGACCACCTCCATGCTTATTTCTACTGTTTATTAACCAGTTTTCCAGTGCATTCGTGACACTGAACGTGACACATCAGCCGGTTTTCCCACACTTAAAAACCTGCATGTATGCACTAATTTTGGTGGAAAATGGGTCTAAGAAAATTATTGGTTTGCTGGCTACAGTGATAACTTTGTTGACATAAACTATGACGAAAATTGTTAGTCAGCGCCCTTTTTTCATGGTGAAAATGAGACAATGACGAGCTAAAAACAGATCTTCAATCTTCGATCTCGAGCACAGTACTCATTAAGATACAGGGGAGTACAATTGTGGAACATGAACCGTTACTTATTATCTGCCTCTATGTCTTTGTCAGTATATAAGACGAAACTAAAAACTGCTTTGATGACCACGAGATTCGATAACTGAATAACGCCATGTATAGGGTGATATGTTTCTGCCTGCCTCAAGATGTAAAATGTTATTTTATATTTTTATTCTTATTATAATCAATTGTCCACTTTTGTTTATTGTTTGTTATCGTGTATGTTTTGTTTTTCATTATTTTTTGCATAGTTTGTCTAGGTGAGGTTTCTTAGCATAAGCCTGTAATGGGTTTCTCTCACCTGCACATGCTATGTATGACTATATTACTTCTATGTTCTTGTTTTCTTATTTCATATGTGCAAATAAATGAAATGAAATCTTGTTAATAAAAAGTAATTTGAAACTAATTTGTCTGAGACGTGACAGAAATGTTGGTGGTGGACTGTCGGACATGGAAAGCTGAGAAGGGCCGTGCTTGTAATGATCTTCAGATTCCTGATGAGCGACAGGCTGGTAAACTCCAGTAAACAGTCTGCACCAGGATGTTTGGGTTGGTGTGAGTTGTGAGCTGTAACTCAGCAGTATATAATCAGCCGTGTGTGTCTGACTGTGGATGGTGGAGCTGCTGAATGGATCTGTGGAGTTTGTTAGTTGCAGCGGTGGCTGTTAGCAGCTAGCTCCGCTAAACAGCAGCGGAGCAAACAGCCAGCAGGCGCCAGATTTTGCTTGTAAACAGCCCAGCACCATCCATTTTAGACATGGAGCATCTTATTTCACGACTGTTCAGTTTTATTCACAGACATATTCTGAGCCTGAAACATGTCTTTGGACTGTTGCTTCACCTCAGTAACATCACCGTTATGTGTTTAAGGATCCTGATGTGGTTAATGCTGACATCACTTGCATTGACATCTGCTCTAGTCCTTTTGGGTTCTGCCAGTGTTGCATGTGTTCATAGAGCCAGCAGCAGCAGCGACCCACAGTGAGGATAGAAACAGAGGGCTCAGCAGGGACGGAGCACCTGCTGCAGCAAGCCAACACCGTCTGCAGTCATTTTGACTTGACCAGCAGACTTCACTTCAAGCTGATTGGCTGTTGAAACAGTTGACGTGCTTTAAAACCAGCCGCCGGCCATTTGACCAGCTGAGTGTCAGGTGACATCATCTGCCAGCTTGAGTCGAGCTCAGCAGTATGTTTGTGTATGTCATTGAGCTTCATTCTGTACGTTGATGTGCTGATATTGTTGCTGCTGGCCCAGTAAAGTTGCGATCATGTGGTAAAGTATGACAGATGGTGTTAATATCGTCTTCAGGTTGTGATCACAGGCTGAAGCCTGTCAGTGTGAATCCTGAATAAACTACAGGTGTTTCCAACAGATAGTTCCCAACACACCTATAACCCCCCCAGAGGGTCCACCTATAGTCAGGTCGATGGCGTCTGTTTGTAGGAGATGTTAATTAGTTAGCAGAGAGGGATCAATATCACACGAGTGGTCGAGATATGTGTATGTTTTCTTGACTTGCTTGGACAATCTAGATTCAGCGATCATGTGGCAGTCACACAATACAAGCAGCTTGGTATGCACGAGCTTACCTGGCCATCGCCACTCCAAACACACATCCACCAACAGTCGACCAGAAGCCGATCCAACCCGCGTCCACCTGTGTGTCAGGAAAGAGGAGGAGGATGGTGGGGTAGAGCGGGAGGAGGAGAGAGAAAGGGTGGAGGAAACAGAATTATTCAGTGCTCAACATGCAGTGCGTGACTGTGAGGACAGAGTGAGACAGAGAGCAGGCACCAAGTGTCTGAGGTCTGCTGAGGCCTGTCAATCACTGCGTCAGGTAAACACAGCTGCATATATGTGTGTGTGTGTGTGTGTGTGTGTGTGTGTGTGTGTGTGAGGTTGTGGTCCTGATTTATTTACACGGATGTGAAGGTGCACGCTCGGCCTTAAACTCCAGAGAAAGGACGTCACGGCTGAGGGACTGCAGCAGAATCAGTATGAGGTAAAGTGCAGCACACGTGCGCGCACACACACACACACACACACACACACACACACACACACACACACGGAAAACCAATCAGTGTGTAGCATCCAGGCGAGAACGTCTCCGAGTGCCAATGAAGGTGTTTGGTTCCCATCAATCTCCCCGAGGCAATAACTCACATTCAACCAAATCCAACCAGATGGAGGATGAGACAGCAGGGAGCAGAATCTTAAGTAGGATCTGATGCTTTTTGCTTAATCATACTCCGCATCGACCTGTCATGAAAGTCTATAACGAAGAAAAGTGGACTATCAAAGTTATTAAATGTAAAATATCTTCTGGCTTACTAAGTGATGAATGTTAAAATGTCGTTATATTTTCTGTGTGGGCCAACCCGCCTGCAAGATGCCTGCCTGAATGGCCCGAGGCAGCTCGGCGATGTGAACAGCGTCCTCCTCCTCCCCCCGAGTAAACGAGGAGGACCAACAATATTTGATTCACTTAAACCACCCACCACCCTGTGGCACCTATAACTGCTGCTTATTATCTATATAGGCCGCGCAGCACCAATGTGAGGGTTTCTAAGGCGTGTAATGTCACATCAGTTTGTGCACCAATTTAGGCAGCTAAACACAAATTGGTTGCCAAGCCATTTCAATTCTGAGATGCAAATGACTGTGTTTCATGTGCGGGTGGAGAGTTAATTAACTGCAGTATTCTTAGCGCCTTGGAACCCAAAAAAAGGCCAGATTTGAAGCTTAATCATGTCTGCTATGTTGCGACTGTGTCGGTAAATTGGAGCTGACTGGTGTCAAGGTAGGCAGAGCCAGGACTCAAGGCTGTCGACACGTCAACGTGTTTGTTTTCACTAATTCTCTCTCTCAATCTCTTCTTGTAAGCCATTTTAAGCCAATAATCAAAGACCTTATCCTGAGCTTTGCTTCGACATGGTATTCCTACACCGACTCACATCATGTAATCCCAGGAAATCCACAAAACAGTCTTTAATAGGGAGGAAGTGCTGCGTCTGAAGGCAGAGCATGCATCCTGATGGAGTTAAACAGAGCACCAGAAGTTCACGACTGATTCTGTAATCGAATTAAAAAAAGCAATCAAACTAAAAGAAGCAGGACACGTTGGATCGGCCTCCCAGTTCTGTCAATTCTAAATGGCTACTCTCCATTAAGGGAACAATTGAGCGCAGTGAGGCACCTGTTTCCTGAGTCATATTCATTATGGTGATGCTGAGCTCTACACTTAATCCTCCTGTCTGCAGATCGAGCACATTTCCTCCAACACAGCTCACACATTAAAACACAGGAGTGTCCTAAAAGATCCCGAGTCTCAATCAGATCCAAACTCAGGGTTCCTTCCTCTGCGGTTTTATAATGAATATTCAAAAATGCATCAAGCGTCCCCCTAAATTAACTGATGAAATATATGAAGATACTAGAGTCACCGCCCCGTGGTTGTATTACTCCGCCCACCAGTCCACCCTGTGGTTGTATGACTCCGCCCACCAGTCCAGTGTCTCTGACAGTCTCCATCCATGTCAGTGAAAACATGGATGCTTCACACACAGAAGATCTATACAATCAGCACAGTTTCAAGATTAGAGTCACCAATTCAGTATCTGATTAAATGTCTCCTCTTCTGTTCCTGAGATATGATGTTTATACATGATGATGTCACAGTCAAGCTGACCTTTGACCTTTGGGATATAAAATGTCATCACTTCTGTTCCTGAGATATGACGATGAGTAACGGACAAATAGTCTTGTTCCCCAGATATGTTTTTACTCTCTTTGATAAATAAGGCGCAAAAATAAGATAAAAAAAAAAAGTTTTAAAATTTAATTTTTGCGGCGTCTCTGCAGCCTTAAAGGCTTCGTTATGCAGACTGTTTATTTTTCTGATGATGACATTAAAGTTTTTCCAGGTAGTTTACATGGGAGATCAGTTTAATCGCCTTTATTCGGGTCCGCGCAAGGTTTGGGGCAGGGAAGGTTTCTGATTGGATAGGGGGCGGGGCGGATGTTACGTGTTTACGTTTACCGGAAGAAAACACTGTAGTCCTCGCTCCGGATAACAAGATGCTTGACGACGCCGTTCTTAGTGCCTTTTTCGGGCTTGTTTTGCTTATATTCTTGAAGCAGCAGTACGACAACAACCTTGTTCTGCTAATGCTTCGTCTGTTGAGGAGGAGAAGGGAGGTAGAAGGTCGAAGAAGGGAGGTAGAAGACCGTGCTGTGGCGAATGGAAACCAGTGAGTGCAACGAGTCCGACTGCTCTATCTCAGCCCGTTGCTATGCAGCCCGTTGCTATGCACGCTATATACGTTATCATGCCAGAAGGGCAAGGAAATGAGCATGTGCAGAAAGACCGGAATGAACTTAAAGAGGAATGAGTGTATACAAGTGTGAGAAATTCTGTCATTTGGAATTAGAATCAGAATATTCCAGCCCCTTACATCCGATTGAATTTTCAATTGCATTGGCCATTTTCATTCTGAATTAGGTGTTTACAAGATCACTTTTAATAGGAATGAACTTTGATTCTGAATGAAAAGGGGGGGTTCAGAGGTGAGTGTGTGTATGGGGAGGGGGCACAGTCCATTTACAGTTCATATGGCTTGTGGGAAGAAGCTGTTTAGCATCCTGCTGGATCTGCAGCTGATGCTTCTGTACCTCTTCCCAGATGGCAGGAGGGAGAAGAGGTGGTGAGGTCGCTCTGCGGATGCAGCGCTGCTGGTAGATCTCCATCAGGAAGGGGAGGGGGCACCAATGATCCTGCTGGCTGTCCTCACTATCCTGTTCCGCTGTTTCTGTTCATAAGCCTTGCAGTTCCCGAACCAGGAAGTGAGGCTGTATGTGACGATGCTTTCAATGGTGCCCCTGTAGAAGGTGGTGAGATGAGCAGTGGGGAGACCTACTTTCCTGAGTCTCCAGAGGGGGTGGAGCCGCTGCTGTGCTCTTCTGATGACTGCTGTGATGTTGGTGGTCGAGGACAGGTCATCAGCCGGGTGGACCCCCAGGAACTTCACACCGCTGACCCTCTAAACAGCAGCCCCGTCAATGTGCGGAGGTGTATGATGTTGTTTGCTGGCCCTCCTGAAATCAATCACCATCTCCTTTGTTTTGTCCACATTGAGGGTGAGGTTGTGGGATCTGCACCACGCTGTCAGTTGATCCACCTCCATCCTGTATACAGACTCGCTGTTATCATGGACGAGACCCACCACTGTCGTGTCGTCAGCAAACTTTATGATGTGGTTATTGCTGAATCTGGCAGTGCAGTCGTTAGTCAGCAGGCTGAACAGCAGGGGGCTCAGAACAAAACAACTCTTTTTTCCCCACACTTATCCAGACCTGGAAATGACTAAAATCAAATTCCGTACTTTTAAATACTGCGTAGGAACTCTGCAAAATTAGAGCCTTTATCTGAGTGTTGACCATCTTGTTCCTACTGTCCACAAACACAGCGGACAGGATGCTGTCAAACTTTACAGGACGGATGGACTGACTGAATAATTCACAATCTCAGGCACAGCACTGAAACAGGGATGGCACTGAAACCTCTGAGACGTGCCCGTGTAAAAGAAAACAGCCTGACTGTTGTTTCTATTTCTGTTTTTGGGCCGAGTGTTGAGCTCAATGTCTGCAGGGCTGGAGTCAGTGTGAGAGGCCTGGAAAGGCAGCACTCCTCTCTACTTACTGGGAAACACTAACTGGATGGAAGTGAACTCTTTCACTCGGGGCAGCAGCTCGCTCAGCAGCTCTAAAGGGGGGATATCCACCTGGCAGAGAACCACAGAGCATCAGAGCTGTTTCTCATCTGAACGACTTCATACTCAGCTACAAGCTGCCCGGGCTACGCTACACGCCAAGAGAACTAAATCATCCTCAGCAAGTCATTAGGCGAACGCTCTCAGCTGCTCTGCTTTATCTACAGATTCTTTACATCACATCAGAAACAGAATTAAACAACAAGGTTAAACTCCAACGGCCATGAAGAATTTACTTGACTTCCTGCCAGGAATGTGCACGCAGCTCTCACTCATGTAGACCAGGGGAAACTGGGAAAACTCATAAACCCTCCAGTGTTTTAGCTTAAAAAAAAAAAAAAAGCTGGTACAGTTTTTCCACAGCCGAGACAAAATCCACATTCCTCTGAATCTTCAGTTTGACCATTGAGTCACTGTCTCTGACCTCTGCTTCAGGAGGGGACCTCAACTTCTCTGGTCGAGGAGAGGTGACTCCTTTTACCATGGCAACATGAAGCAAACAAGTGAGACCCAAAGGTGCTGGAATCTGTATCTTACCCTTGTCTTTTCCTCACCTTGTGTCGTTCTCATGTGTTTGCTTCACATTCAGAATCAAGAGCTCAGGCTGAAAGGCTGTTTTTAGGCACAACATTAAGCTCTAGCACCAAGCAGTGGTATCTGCCGCTCACACTTTCCAACCATCTTAACAAAGGACACACCCAGTTTCATAAACATGCATTTTACAGACGCATCTGGTGTTGTAACATTAGTCTTTAAATAAAGTTTGTTGCCTCTAGTCCGTGTGCTGCAGTTTACTTTGGAAGTCTCTCCGGATACTCTGAGAGCATCTGACAGGCCTGCTGTTCCTCGTGAGGCGGCTGAAGCACACTACGCCTCTTCCTCCCTG